ACATTTGTAACACCCCCCAGAGCGTGACGTACTTAATGGATGCTCCCTTAGAGGCTTGAACTAGCTTCTAGTGGATAGTTACAATGATTTTACGTCACAGATTATAAAAAAAATGTGGCGATATTGGGGCATGCTCATTAAATGGGTTAATGAGCTGAACGATAACCTTACAAAAATGCTCCATTTTCCATGTTTCATTTTATTGTTATTTTCAAATTATTGTTATTTATAGATTCGGTGGTTTGGTAAACTATGATTAGTCTGTGAAATGTTTAGTAGTCTTGAGAATAAACAATTTCATTGTGTTCAGCTTTTATTTCATAATATATACAGTCAACAACAACATACATTCTTCCACAAATATGAATCACTTCCATATGATGAACACGCTAGACTGACTGTACAGTAATTAAATGTTCTTTAATTGTAGGGGAATGTTCACATTTAAAGCTCTTTGGTTCCACAATCGTCTTCTAGGATTCTGATGTTAGAGAAAACGGATCAAAAAGACTTGGTGTACTTTCACATTTTAGATCACTGAAAAACATACATTTTGTTATATCCTTTCGTAGGCAGATTTGAAATACTTACCTCTTACAATGAATTCATATTTCATTTCAAATAAACTAATTTTATACTCTAAAAAATGATTAGATCACGTGACTAAAATTATCGAACTGATGGAGCAAAAAACAACAAATACAGCACTAGCAACCGGTCATAAACAAACGTTACTACGATGAAAATAAAACCTAAAAACAAAATATTTAAAAATACTTAGCGATACTTACGAGATATTTTAAAATATTTAATAAATATCCGAACTAAAGTTTAAAGTGGGATGCCCCTAGGAACGTAATGTCTTTTTAAGGTTATTATGCTGCTTTCAAACTTATTTGAATATTTTCATGTCGTTTTGACAATTTGAGGCCATGTGACGATTAAGCTCATTTTGGCGTTGCATGATCGGCATTCAAACGTTTTGAAGCGTTTCTTGCTGCCTGGTGATTTTTTATCATTAGAGATGAACCAGCCTACGGCTGAAAATCTCTTTAATAAAGCTAACCATAACCGTATTTAACATTTTTTGGCTGTTTTGATAATTTTAAGCTATTTTTTAATATTCTCCTAATGGTAGTCATGGTGTTTACCTGAGTACTGCGGACTCACCCAATATGCTTGTCACTTGGGAGCCAGAGTGAATTGTTCCTATCCATTGTATTGCCATTGCCTGAGTGCATTGTAATCTCATGAAAATTCTCCATACTTTTTCATGACTTATTCTTAATTCTAAGCTTAAAGACAAAAACCAGGTAGCTCCTTGATGAGAGTATAAAAACCAGCATAGTTTTTATGACTCAGCTGAGTTTACAATTGCAGTAAAACATACTTTGGCGAAATATGTACATAAACAAACTTTGACTTTCATGGGGGCTCAACTCCTCCTGGCTCGGAGCTTTTGGTGGGAATCAACTGAGAACGAGCAAAACAGTTCTAAACTTAAGAAAATTTTCAAGCAGTTTTCCATTGGCTTGCAAAATAAAATCGAACAACTCCGCAGTACCCAGGTGGTTACAGGTCATTATGCATTTTACGGAATTTTTTGGCAGGAAGTTTTAAGTCACTTTTGCAATGTTTTAATTTTGTCGAACCTCTTATCGGAATCCCTTTATGAAGAGCTTTGAGTGTGTTGATTTATTTCCTTAAATTAAGTTAAAGAAGAAAATTCAATTTTGAGTAATCCTGATCATGAATCCACGTTGACAAAGTTGACAAAAAAATAATAAAACGGAGCAGACTGGAACCGAACCATGGACATTGAGAATACGGGGCCCGTGTGTTGACCACTCGTCTATCAACGCTTGTGAAAATGAAAAGGTTAAAGGCGCATAAGAGCAATCTCAATGAAAATAAACTTATATTTGAGTTCATTTATTATTACTCAATAGTTGAGTAAATTTTAACCAACGCCGCTTTTCTGATACACTCAACGGCGGACCTCAAATGATAGAACCCAACGTTGAGTTTTTTTGAACTTAATTTTGAGTATTTTTTTTTCTTGCCGTGTGTAATCCCGTTATAAATGCTTATCTTTTGACAGATACGCTTATTTCGTCTACTACTTGCACACTACGAAAAATTCATGTAAATTTCCGTGCCCTGAGACCGACACATGCAAGCGGCCCAAATGACATAAGAATCAGTTGAAAGAGACGAGAAAATCAATTCAATCAAGCGTACTTTTTTGCCTGGTAACGTGGGTAGATCACCTTTTCGTGGTACGTTACGGGATGTAAGATCTACCACCGATTCCTAGTCCTGACTACTTCAAACTAGGGGAACAGGATTTTTCAGTAATCCAAGGAACACATCTTAGTCCTTGTTACTTTTTATGCCTTGTTGATAGTGACAAGACTCGGCTTTGTCTACCGAAGATGATCTTGAAACAAGGGAAAAAAAATGAGTTCGTTGTCTTCATCTATGTGATTCCTAATCTTCTATTCGTTGTTCCCTAGTTCCTGACTACTTCAAACTAGGGAAATTTTACATGACATGTTTGTTTAAGTTCCATAATTTACGTCAAAGATGGATTACGTATCGAGTAAAAATAGTTATTTCTAAGTGTGTGCGTATCTGTCAAAAGATAAGCAAGTATAACGGAATTAAAAGGAAATACTTCAACACACTTTAGCATTTTAAAGATTATTTTGGTCTTACAACATCTATTTTCAAAATGGGGTCGCAAGTTAATGAAATGTTTAAAAGTGTGTCGCAGTCAACGAAATTTTGAGAACCGCTGGTGTAAAAAATTATGTCATTAGCCCTGTATTGCCGGAAGTTTCTACTTAATCTAGGCTTTTTTCGCTTCTCTAGCAACCGTTTTGCAGGTTCTCAACATAGTGTTCTAGACGCACTTCGACAGTTATTAATTGAGAGCTTTGTGTGCCATCCAATGCATGGATCAGTATACTGCATGGCAAGCGCAATGATACTCTATGCCGAGAAAATTCGAAGAAAATTCCAACCCGTAAAATTTCCTCGGCCCGCCAATACGGCTTAGTAATACCGTGTTTTTACTGACTAGGCTATCTGACGCCTTCGGCCTCACGGAAGTATCGACAATACGATACGTATTGGATGTATACGTACTTAGTCCATCAATTTTTCCTACCGAGGCAAAATGAAAGTACGTCATTGACTTAAATACGTTTGAAATGAGACATCACGTAATCACTCTCTCAACAGTCGAAGTTGGAATGTCAAAGAAATTCTACCCAGAAAACACTTCATTTTGTCTACCAACTATTCACTGTTCATCAACGCATACGAAAGAGAAGAATGAACAGAAATATTTCTGCAAGAATTTTACCATCTATTCAACAGACTTTCTAGCTAACGGTACCGACCGATGATACGCGTACTGGTGATAATTCAGTCACTCTGTCCCACGGCTATTGAATGGAACATGGCTAATGTAATTGCGTACACTGGAAATCCCACATCGCACTTGTTTCTGGACAATTCACAGCTACACATCCCACAATTTAGTGAGAAAATAAGGTCAATATCTCTTCAGTTCAGTCTATCGCTATAGAATGCTGAAACCGAGGTTAAATTTGAGGTTATTCTCAGTGAATGAACATCAGTAATCAGGCATTGCATCAGGGGCACGGAATAGTATGCAGTGTGCAGAGGGCAAGGATTACCAATTTGATAAAACCAATCAGAGAACCGAAAAGGTGCTTCAATCTGTCAGAACCAAAACCGATATCTATATCCTGTTCTGCGTCCGTCTATACATACGGCTATGGCTTTCAAGAGGAGCTATCTTTATCACAATCTCTCGTAGCCCGGTGATGCAGACGTATAATCAATATCGATAGGTAATTGATTTAACGCACGGAATAGCTTTCATCGGTTGTCCTTCATTAGAGGAAATGATCGAAACCAACTATATATGCCAACACCGGCCCCTGATTCAAGCGGTAGCAATCTGTTTCAACGATAATTAAGGCAATTAGTGATTATTGTATTTAGATATTAAGTAACAAGTATATAAACCTTCATTGATAAGCTATTAGTTTCTCACTTTTCTTGATGATTTTGATTGTCTACTCTTCTTAGGCTTGATTTGTCTCTCTTTTTTGGGCCACCAACTTTCAAACCTTTACGTGCGATCACTCCACGCCACCACGCCTGATTTTTGACAGCATTGTTCCAGCACGTGCTACTACCATGCTACCAAAATAGCACATAAATGTTATAAGGGTTCTCTAGTATCGTCTATAGTTTTCAAACATATTTATAATGTTGCAAAGCAAGGATGTAATATTGAATTTAAAATGTAATGGTCGGATTTATGAACCGTAGTGCTCAGTGCACTACGGTAGTTTAAGAATATGAATGGTTCTCCATAACGTAATTGGGTGCCAAAATTGGTCGTTTACCGATTTGCCGGAGCATGCGATCCTGATGCGTAAAATACTGCAGTCAAAAAATATTGCTCAACTGCCGTGATAATGTTCGTTCACCTTGCAGAATTTACTGCATTCTCTGGTTCAAAGCTCGTTTGGCTTAAATCACACAAAAACCAGGAACGACTTATCATCGCTGTGATTCATCAGACAACTGTTCACTGCTTGCAGATAACGCATCTTCTACTCTAGAACCTGTCGTATCGAATAGCTTCTCGTTTCATCTAGCACTTGTTCCGTGCTGGAGGGGTCGGTATTGAGGATTTGGGACTTGAACCATGCCAAGTGGAAAAGTTTCGAAACGATGGTGGAGCGGTATAAATAAATGATTTGGGGATAATCGAAACATGGCTTTCTCAGTTCAGCTGTAATTGTGCCTTCTTGATGGTTATCTTATCGCTTATCTAACAGATGTTGATGCTCACTAATTAACGTAATTACATGACTATGTGCTATTATTTCTCTTAATAAAAGACCCATCACGAATGCAGATTTTAACCAGTTTGTCGTTGATTCACAATCGAAATGAACCAAAAAATAATCATTCTCCGCCAGCTACTGGATCATTTACGAAAATTTATTATCAATCTGTTTGAAACAACTTCGGCCCATGGGCTGCGACATTTGGTTCGGTACGGTGTGCATACGATCGAAAGACTCGTATGGATCACGTGCATCTCGATTGGCATTTTCGGTGTAGTGGCTCTAGCCCAACGAATCTGGTACCGCTATCAAACCTCTCCAGTTGTGATTTCTATGGATCGTAACATGTACTTTTGGAACACGAGCTTTCCCAGTCTGACTGTTTGCTCGCACCGTCGAATCGACGAACGAAAAGTTGAACAATACATCGATGATCATCCGGACAAGTTTGCTGCCGATGGCGATGCCGAAGACTTTAAAGAATTCATCATCAAACTGGCGAATGCATCGTACGACACCTTTCTGGATTTGCCTATGCACAAAAGCTACGGAATAGCCAGTTCCGAGTATTTGAATCTCATTCACAATCTCTCGTTACCGTTTCAACCATCGATTAGCACCGGAACTACTCTATATTTAGAATTACAACCCACCGTCACCGAGCTGGGGCTATGTCTGTCGGTCAATTCGAAGATAGCAGAATACAGCTCCTATCACTACTGGAAAAACCAACGGTGGGATATGATTCCTACTAAGCCAACCGTAGTGGTTCACCCTTTGGACGGAGAAGTGTACGGTCAGTTGATCAAGCTGGAAAATTCATATGAAGTGTACTTCCACGGATGCTTGGAAGTGCCGGAAGTCTCCAAACGGCGTTATTCCTTTTTGGAAGCATTCTACACCACCGTTGAGCTTCTGGCTCTAGAGATTAAGACATCGCCTCAAGCGAGGGAGTACGTAGCTTTATAAATTTTCTCAAATGTGTGATGAACCCTTTCAAAAATCGAGGATTTTATATTGCAGACTTTCCATTTCGCAGCGACAGTGTCGTTTCACCCATGAAGCAGACATTCTACAGTTTAGTCCAGTATACAGTTACAATCAATGCAGGGTAGAGTGTAGGATGAGGCTAGCGGTGAAGTATTGCGGATGCGTTCCACATTTCTACAGACACATTGGTGAGTACGCAAAGCTTCGAAGTAATTTGCGTTAGGAATATAGTCCATTTGATACACTGTTCCATGCAATCCTAATGCAAGTTTTCCCTCCAACAAAATATCCCGGTAACAGGTCATTGTCACCTTACTTCATATTGCTGCAATTTCCCTACGTAAATATCCTAACTTAACCTATTTAACATGTCAGATCCCTAATGATCTGCTGACCGAATCCAGGATGAACGTTCTCCCATTCCTCCAATGTCTGAACAGAAGACCAAGTGGATATCAGAGTTTTGCGTCCATGGAGGACTGTTTAGGATCATTCTAATGCCACGGATACACTTGTATGACAAACTATGAACATGAGCATTATTTGTATAATAAATTATGAGCACATCCTAAAACTATACAAGTGCGACCATGGATGTGCTCATAATTTATTATAAAAAAAATGCTCATGCTAATAGTTTGTCATACAAGTGTATCGGCGGCATAAGGATCTTGTTCTGGATCTTTTGCATTCTAAAGCCTGGTACACAGCTGAAAAGAAAACGGAAAAGTGCATCCCTTTAGTTACAATCTCCTAGATTTCAATTTGTGCATGTTGTTTTAGGAAACTGTTATGTTTTGACGTAGAACTACGTCTTTGTCGACTATACTGGGGTGCAAATCAAAAAATATGTGTGGTGAAATAGTGTTAGGTTTTGAACGCTTGTAACTTTGTCATTTATAAATGAAATTAAAATCCAAATACGCCAATCGATAGGATATTACATTACAAACCTGTCGAAATAAATATATTTCCAATTTTCCGTAATAAAACTGTTGGAAAATGAACAAAAGATAATTTTATCACTGTTTCCTTGAAATAAGCGTTTTTCCCAAACCCAGTCATCATGATCGAGTACAAGTTGGTTGCATATCGTTCTGAAAAGATATAAAACAGCGCTGCTGTCGCACTTCTGCTCATTACCGCTTCGGACGGCGTGGTGCTTGGTCCTGTAGTAAGCAGGAGCAAGTCAGTGATTAAAGATGACTTGGGTCCCGTTCAACTAAGGGGCTGCTCATTAATTACGAGGGGAGGGTGGGTTTTGGCAAGAATCCCAAAAAATTGTCTACGTTGCTAATGAACTGCCCCTAATACGAAACGTGGAAAAGTTATTTATGCAAAACACAACCTCCCCCCCCCTCCCCTATTCCGACAACCTGAAAAAAACATGAACTTTAACGATCACTTTTTGCCGGGAAATTATTGTTAAAAAAAAAGTTTAATTCCGTTAATTTTGTTACCCAACTATTGTCCAGAGAGCTTCGAATTTGAGAAAGAAATCGCTCACAATATTTAGATGTTATTCAGTGGGTGATTTATCACCAACTGACTGTAAAACATCTCAGGTACCTCTATGTATGGAATAAGATGAACATCCGAAGTCCATCCTTTTTTACATATTATGCAAAAAAATACTTTCTGCCCCGCCCCATTCATAAAAAAAACGGTGGGAAATCCTGTCAGGGGTGGGCCTTAGAAAGTATTTTTTGTGCAGAATATGTAAAGAAGGGGGGTCGTCGGATGTTAACCCAAATGCATATACCGTGCATCATAGAAAAAAAAAGATCTATCTACGGTTTCAATTAGCACAATTACTCAGGAATGCTTGTGTGATTACGAACCCGCGTTTCAATAGAATCCTAATTTGAGAACATTGTTCATTCTTTATTTTTTTTTTTTTATATATTAATTTATTTGTACAGGCTCAATCGAATAAACTTTACAGAGCCGAGTTATCATTTGCATTATACATGAATGATGTCTTAAATCTAGAGTTAAAGGAATTGAACCGATTACTCGCGGTCGTCTCGAGGTTAGTGGAGATTTACAATTTTTTGGATGGGGAAAGGGAGAAGGAGGTTTGAAATATGATTTATTATATAAATATTTAATTAATCCTAAAACATGAACTTATTTCTATTCATCTTGAAAACAAACATAAAAAAAAAACTACACGCACAATACACAAACTAAACACAAGGTTAATCAAACTTACAATCTAAGGTTAGTATTCTTAAAGTAAACATATATGAGTTTCATAAACTCCAGATCACGTCTAGCCAAAATATCCCGAACTGGAACATTAGGTTGTCTACCTCGAGCCCGAAGGGAATCGCACAGCTCAGATCTGACTCCACGATGCTCAGCACAAGACCAAAGGATGTGATCGGCGTCTTGGTAACCTTGTCCACATTCACAGAGATTGCTGTCTCCCAGCCCAACACGAAACAAGTGAGCGTTTAACGAATAGTGATTGGACATGAGGCGAGACATCATACGAATGAAGTCTCGACCCACATCCAACCCCTTGAACCAAGGATTCTTCGACACCTTAGGGATGATCGAGAATAGCCATCGTCCCAAACTCCCTTCACTCCATTTATTTTGCCAGCTGGCGAGCGACTGTTGACGGTAAATGAAGAAAAATTCATTGTAGGCGATTTGTCGATCGTAATGTTCATTCTTTAGTATTATTAGAAACTAGAAAGATACTCTTTTTCACCAAACACATGTCGATATGTAATATTCATAGAAAAAAACACGGCATTCATTTAGACGCAGTGCGAAAATAACATGAATAGGTCCAACCAAAGTCCATTGCCCTGCACCGGAAATGTAGATGTATCTCTTAGCGGAAGTGAATAATCACTGAGATTATTTCTAATATAGTTTGCGGTAGTACACAATTCCTCTCAAAAATAATGACAGTGAATATTCACTTCCGCTAAGAGATACATGTACCGTTTCAACTTGCCCCGGTGTACCTTAACTATGATGCTTACTATCAAAACATTGAACAGGTGGAGAACCTATATACGAGCTTTTGCTCTGACTTTGAAAATCAATAACTGAATCCCCATAATTTTCAATTAATGTTTAAATTAATTCAAATAAATGCACCTACTTATTGGAAACCAAACGTTTGATTTGAGAAAAGTCACAGTATTCTATTTTGCATCATTCTACGAACACGCTGTAAAGTACATAATGATGATGCATGATAATTTTATGTTATGGAGAACAAAGAGGTGCTTTAACCCCATATTATCGTTGTACCCCTTTCGCCCCTACTTTACTGACATTTTGTTCAATATTGAAAGCACCGTCTTCTTAAAGGGAAAACAACTTCCTGGCGCTTTATCATAAAATTCGACCTTCACTCTCTTCTCTGCTTCAGAGACCTAATTCAAAACTAATGATGGAACTACTGAAAAAAATAACGTATTTTGTGCGAATTGTTTTATCCCACAACATGTATGGTGTTTTTGTGTATTATACTGAGGTGCAAATCATCAAAAAATGTGTAACGAAATAGTGTCAATTCCTATTTTAGTCGATGTCGATGTCAAATTTAGTGTACATTGATCACAGTGAAATAGCTCAACATTGATCAACCCAAGGTAGTCATGGAGGGAAAATTCTGTCAATTCTTAACCATTACATTAAATGTAAATACATTATCTCATGCGTAAGATGAACCGTGGTCTGATTATGCTAAAGTGAATTGTCGCGAGTTTTGAATCATAACCGAGACATTGAAATACTTGAAAAATTTAAGATAAAGTATAATAATCAAAAATGCATGACATAAATCAATTTTGCGTAGTTCTACGTCATACTGCGGTCGTGTCTAAGATACAACCCTTTATTTTTTAGTGTCAGTGTCTGGTTAAGCCTGGTACGCAGCTGAAAAGTAATGACGTTTTTACGTGCTACGGGATAGGACACGGAATGCAAAAGAAATTACTTTTCCTCAGCATTTCTTGACCCAGTACGCAGTTCAAAAGAAATCGGTAAAGGAAAGATCGATTACATTAGTATCGTGATCGACATGAAGGTGGCGCATTCTGAATGCAATTTCACTTTCCTTGCGGAATAATGGTCTGACCAATTATTCCGTTAGGTAATTTTAACGTTTGTTGTAAAAATGATGTTTTGGATGCATTTAAACAACATAAACTCTAATAAGTGTTGATTTTACAATTTGACGACATCTCCCTATAATCTCAAAATTTAGCAGCCTATAGCTGTCAAATTTTCTTTTGGGAAAAATCCTCAAAAATTACTTTTCCGTTTTCTTTTCAGCTGCGTACCAGGCTTTAAGCCTGGTACGCAGCTGAAAAGTAATGACGTTTTTATGTGCTACCGGATAGGACACGGAATGCAAAAGAAATTACTTTTCCTCAGCATTTCTTGACCCAGTACGCAGTTCAAAAGAAATCGGTAAAGGAAAGATCGATTACATTAGTATCGACATGAAGGTGGCGCAGTCTGAATGCAATTTCACTTTCCTTGCGGAATAATGGTCTGATCAATTATTCCGTTAGGTAATGTTGGCGTTTATTGCAAAACTGATGTTTTGGATGAAAAATAATGACGTTTTTACGTGCTACGAGATAGGACACGGAATGCTAAAGAAATTACTTTTCCTTAGCATTTCTTGACCCAGTACGCAGTTCAAAAGAAATCGGTAAAGGAAAGATCGATTACATTAGTATCGTGATCGACATAAAGGTGGCGCATTCTGAATGCAATTTCACATTCCTTGTGGAATAATGGTCTGATCAATTATTCCGTTACGTAATTTTAACGTTTGTTGTAAAAATGATGTTTTGGATGCATTTTAACAACATAAAAACTGATAATTGTTGATTTTAAAAATAGACGACACTCCCCTATAATCTCAAAAGACACCTCCCTATTGGAAGATTGCCGCAAAAGCTCAACGCAGATGTCGCCACTGCATGATGATGATAATGTTGACAGACTGCATATAAAATTCCTGAAAATTAGCATTAAATCATAATTTTCATCAAGCCTACGTGAAATCCTTCCAATATAACATTCGAATTGAAGAAGAAAACGCTTTTACGATCAGACTTTTGTGCATCTTTGACTTTTCCAGGTGAACTTTCATAAGATATATTCATTTCATTTCACGGCTCCATCAATGCTGCATCGTAAATATGATGGTAAACAGAAGTAAATTGCTCAATTACTCAAAATAAAGATGATTTGTCATCTTGTTATCACTTTGAAGACCATCTAGCACCATTTTATAGCATGGTGCGTGTTGAGTAAATCAAGTTCCGTTGCGTTTTCCGTCGAAAATTGTGAGTATCAATATGTTTGCTTAGAAAAGGCCAAAATGAACATTTATTGAATATTGGCGTCCTATACAACCAATTCTCGATTACCACCAGCATGATACAACCTTGCCTAAGTAAATTAACTTTATTTCCACTTTCATCTTAGAGGAAATCGCACATATTCACCATTTTCCGAAAAATGCAGCTGCGCAGGAGGTAACCTCTCGCTGTGGGTGCAAACTTGTTATGCATAATTTTCCATGAAAACCTCTCCGATCCATACCGAAATAATAACAATTAGTTTTCAAACACGTTTTCTTACACGATACAAGCAAAAGTTTCCACGGAAAATTATTAGTTTTTCTTTATGGACCGATTTGCCCCAAAAATCGTCTGTTTTACTTGGAGAATTTGGAAACTATCCTCCTTCTAGTAGTTCTCACTTCGAAATGTAGGAGGCGAAAGCTTGGAAAAGTTTCACTGCAAGACGCCAATAGCCACAGACAAACACAATCACATTCATCGCAAATAATGTTTTAGTTGGGAATGTGCTTGCATTTGTCATGGTGGCGCCACTGAAGCATTGAGCAAGCCACCACATTTCGAACTTATCAGTGATGCCAGTTCTTTTTCACGTCTAGTTAGTAGATCTCAGCTCTTGAAAATGATAAGTGGTCAAGGCATCCCACTGGAGACACATACCACATCTGAAGAATACAGAAAAAAGATATTACGCTGTACGATTAACACAGAATTCGAGAACAAATCATGTTGATGACTGTAACATTCTATCAACTTTTACCAGTTATTATTGTTCAATACTTCACCATGAATTTCATTGATTGATACATATTATATTTTTTGCTGGGGAGGAGGGACATAGTGAACAGGTGGGGCATAGTGAGCATCCCGCAGTTTGGCTCTGGATCTCCAGATGCATGAAACAAATCAACTGGTATTAGGTTCAATATCATTATGATATTGATCTTAGCACCAACCAATTTATTCCGAACGGCCGGAAGTCCAAGCTGGTGCACGGGATGCTCCCTATGCCCCACCTGTTCACTATGTCCCTCTTACCCCTACACACATTAAAGTGATGAGCGGTGGTAGAAAGGGCACTAATTAGTGATGCATTACTTCGTTTAAAAACTTGTTTCCAGCAAAAAAGGACACTAAACAAACAAAACAAATCCCTAAAAAAAAGACTTAGCTTTTGTGAATTTTTCCTACGGATCCGTATTTCTGCAGAATTCAATCAATTCTATAGGTCTACGGAAAATTTCGTAGAACCGACATCACTGACTTCCATCTGTTTTGTTTTCATTCAACACAGCTGACGCGTTGACAGAACGAGGGAAAAGCAACTGGTGAAAAAATTGGCATGAACGAGGGATGCTCTGGTTGCACTTCAATGCTTGGGAATGTGGATGATAGATGGTGCTAGTGCGCATGCAAAATACGCTTGACGATATTTTTTGAAGAATTTTCTTCTAAGAGTTATGTCTGTTTGTCTGTGCTATAGCTGTCAAATTTACTTTTGGGAATATTCATCAAAAATTACTTTTCCGTTTTGTTTTCAGCTGCGTACACGGTAAGAAAAAAGTACCCAACGGCCAGTTCACTTTTACCTACTTTTGACTAGTTTGTCTCCTTTTCTCCTACTAATGTTGTCAAAAACGGACGAGTTAAACCACCCAACAGGGGTAGTAAAGTGTGGGAACCCAACGTTGAGTATAATCATATTTACCTACTGTTGGGTACATCTAACTTACTTTTGGTTAAAAAGCCAGTGGAAAATTCCATACGAACTGCACACAAGTAAATGAAAATTACTTTGACCCGCTTTACCTACTTTTGGGTTCCTGCACTATAGTGCCGAGATAAGTGAAAAGAACTTAATTTTGGGTACTTTTTTCTAACCGTGTACCAGGCTTTTTAAAAGAAATCGATACAGGAAAGATCGATTACATTAGTATCGTGAACGACATGAAGATGGCGCATCCCAAATGAAATTTCTCTTTCCTTTCAGAATAATGGTCTGACCAATTAATTATATGATTTGAGTAGTAGCTACACTGAAGATCCGAGAGATGTCGCCCCTTCAGTGGTAGGAAAATCATTTTTGCAGTATGGAGAATATTAGAAAATCCACGATTTGTGACTAAACATGCTTTCACAGAAGGAAACAAATAAACGAGTGTTTACCTTATCACCATAGTAATGTACTCGTGCAATTTTTGGGCATCTAAATCTGCTCATGAAGACGATAATGAATAAAAACTGAAAATTTTCATGCATTTCCAAATGGTTTCCTACCATTCCCATACATTCGAAAGTGACTGGTCCTCTGGATGTGGATGATGTCAAAAACAACAAAACATGATTAATTATTCCGTTAGGGAATTCTGACGTTTGTTGCAAAACTAATGTTTTGGATGCATTTTAACAACATAAAAACTAATTATTGTTGAATTTAAAATTTGACGACACCTCGCTATGATCTCAAAATTTAACAAAAGGCCCCTAATATCCCTAATAAAAAATAACCATAAACGAACGATAACACAAATCATTGAACTATTCCACAAATGGTTTGGATGATACCCAGAACACGTCGTTAAGCAAATTAACCGTACAATTTTTATTAGGGATAGCTGTCAAATTTTATTTTGGGGATAATCCCCAAAAATTACTTTTCCGTTTTCTTTTCAGCTGCATACCAGGTTTAAACCTCCAGTGCCCATAAGGGAACCGTTAAAGTAAATTAATTTCTATTAAATTCAGACATACACACTTATCTCTAAAGAAACCTTAAATTGTTTATTTTGTTAGGCTCAAGTGCCGAGATTAAATATATATTAAGTATATACCTATATAAGTTAACTTAGCAATTACATATGGTTCTTTTTTTTCAGGTAAAGGTAACTTCAGATATCCCATTTGCACCTTTGACGGATATCGTTGTTTAGGTGAAAATTCCGGTAAAAATGATACTTACACTTTGCTCTTAAATAATACAGTATTTAACACTTTGTCAACAGAAGCGCTAATCACTCTTCGTTCAAAAACACAAACCATAGATTGTAACTGCGTCCCCAATTGCGATGATTCCAACTTTTTCGTTCAAGCTTATGTAAGTACCTATCAGGCATTCACTTTGGAAGGAACATTAGCCATCGCAATATCCCATGTTTCAGCGATCACGTGAATGGTTTCTTGGTGCCAACCTTCAGTGGGGATTAACAGACTATCCGAAGATGCAACTAAATCGGGACATCATTTTTGGATTGTCCGATGTATTGGGTAATGATAATGAGATAAAATAACGTTTAAAGAATTGATATGTTTATTTAAACCTAATTTCAGTCTACATCGGTGGCCTCGGAGGATTTTTTCTGGGCTGCAGCATGATTACCTTCACCGAATTTGTCTATTTTTTCACGTGGCGTCTTTTCAAACGTCTGGACTAGTAACGGCGATTAGTTTTTGCCTTCAGAGCAGCCAGCTGTTCTTTGCATAGAGTACGTTTTGCTTCGTTAGACTGTAACAGCTTACGGAGTCGCACGATTCGGGCAGCATTGTGGTTCCTTTTGATGACTATCTCCTGTTCACGTTTCTCCAGTAAACGTTTCAGATCGTCCAATTGACGCTCTTTTTCACCCAGTTGATATTCACGAGAGCAGCTGACGTACGCAAAAGGGTTTGGAGAGGCTAGTTCCGGATTGATCACCTGAACCGGTTGCTGGTGGTCTGCTAAATTCAATGTAATACACAAATTGATTTTATTTCAATGGAAACAAGCTTACCCATCTTTCGCTTAGTCACACGAGAAAGCATTTCTTTGTGTTCTTCTATGGCCTGTCGTATCTTGGAATAGCGATTTTTTTCTAGGTCATGGATCGCAGCGACTCGTTTTTCGTTGGCAGCCAACTCTGTAAGCTGGAGTTTGGTTTCCTTGAAGGGAAATAGGATATGAAAATCATTTCAAAAGAATTTCAAATCCATCTTACTTCACAGCGCTTTTTCAGGGTATCAAGCTGATTGTTCTTAGATCCAAGGTATTCCGTCAACTCCTTCAATCTACGCTCTAGTTCCACGTGCTTTTTCTTGAGTGAATTGACTTCATCTGGAATGAAATAATGATAATTGTCTTATATACGAATATAATCACAAACTATGTTCAATTACCGTTAACCCTCTGATTTTCACTCTTCAGCCATTTGATTTTTTCAAAGTTCATACGATTGGCACTCATTTTGCTAATAATTGAACTGACAGTTTAGGTTTAGCAGCCTGTTTTGCTGTCATTGTCGTACTTACACCACTCGCATCTAACCTCTGCACATAGTAAGCGGCGCATGTGTTGAAATGAACCGTTGAGTGCCAAAGCAGTACAGGTATACCTCGATATAACGTAACTGTCACTTTTGACTTCCATCGCTGATTTCTAGTTAACAATCATTAAATCAAACAAAGTAATAACACCATCGGATATATGAGATAAACCTCCATCTATTGGTCATGGCAATTTATATGACTGAATTGTTATTTATACGATATCGACGATGGAAGTCAAAAGTAACAGTAACGTTTTATCGAGGAATGGCTGTACATGTCCGTTTGAGTAAATTTTAGAGTAGAGACTATTATTCTATTCTATTCTATTGAGGGCTTCCATCCAGAATGAGCTGAAAAAACCTGAAATCGTGCTCGACCACCTTCGATTTGGATGATACTTTGCCCATATTTTCAGTATGATAGACCAAGTATTTTCCGCAGGAGAGGAGACCCTTTTGACTCAAGGGTAATTTTTGAAAAGGGCCTATGTGTTTTTGCACACAAACTTTAAAAAATGTAGTTCGAAAACTTTTTTTTATTAAAAGTTTGTCCATCCTGGAGTTGTTTTCAAAACTTCTGCTTTCTATTCAAGTTTTTATTAAAAAATATAAAAAAAAATCAAATACGTTTTTTTTTTTTGTTATTTGAATTTTGAGGTTTATTTTTAATTTTTTTGCAAAAAACTACAAGGGACAGTCCAATGAGGTTGTACGCAATTATGACGTAGGACTACGTGGTATGATATAATAAATGTTTTTGTTAACTGCAGCAGGAGCTTGTATTTTGTGTAGGAATAGGAATTTTAGTGTGGTTTTCTCTGTTTATACTCTTTAGTATGAGTATGACTGACCTGAAAAGAACCTTTTGATATGAATTTTAGTTGGGACATGTTCAGAAAATTAACTCTATTGGAAAATGTTGGTGGCCCTGAAAAGAGCCGATGGTAGTACAGGTTTAAAGCCTTTGGAAGATGATGATGACGTGTAGGCAGCTGCGTATTCAGTGACGGCATCACGGATCACATTTTCTCGGCACACCTTCAGCACACCTCGGGTTTCCTCGTACATCAGACCGGAGATGAGCTTGACACCACCACGTCGAGCCAGACGACGAATGGCAGGCCCTGGATGTTATCACATGATGACACCGACACCGATGTTTACCGTTGAACGGATGAATTGCAAATAATGCGAAGGCGTTTTGCCATTTTTTGCCATTTAAATGATCTTTATTTCTTGTGATTGTGTGGTTTACATGTATGAATTTTCAAGTGACACAGATGCGTCTTTTCAACTTTAGTACATTTGAGATTTTAATTATTATTTACAGTTCCTAGTCCTATCAGGCCTATTTTAAAGTATGACCACCTTGGTGGGATTGGTTTGATTTGAATTGGAAAAAGGAGACTACTTATAACTACTATTTACAACTACAACTAACCTACAACTACTATGTACACCTAGCCTACTATATACAAATTGCTTATCAAAGCATGTTCTGATAAATTACATTTTTGTGCAAATTTAGTCTTAATTTCGTTAATTTTGGAATCTATTTTGGCAATGCCTGCCTCTTCATGTAAATTTGTTATTCTAGTGTCGAAAGGACGATCAAGAACCATCCTCAGCACTCTATTCTGAGCGACCTGGATTTTGTTCCTGTGAGTCTGTGCACATGATTCCCACACCGGAGCTGCGTAGAGGATCGCAGGTGCTATTATTTGTTTGTAGACGGCCAGTTTGTTCACCCTTGAGAGGCGGGATCTGCGGCAAATCAGCGGATACAGACACCTAACCAAGGCGGAACACTTGACTACGGTTTTCTCCACATGCGAGCGGAATAGGAGCTTTTCGTCAAACAACATCCCGAGATAGGTTACTTCGGCGGACCACTCAACCCTTGTGCCATCCATGATTACAGTACAAGAGGGAGCCGGTTTTAGTTTGGGTGATTGCCGATGGAGGAACATGATTGTTTGTGTTTTGGAAGCATTGATTTTGATTTTCCACGTGGTGGCATAATCAGCAAAGGCGTTAAGGCATCGTTGAAGTTTGTTCGTTATTTCGCGAGGCATCCTTCCTTTGACGGCTATTGCGGTATCATCTGCGAACAGGAAAAACACGCAACCGTCTCCAAGGGGAGGAATGTCGGAAGTGTAAATACTGTAAAGCAAGCGGCCCAGCAGACTGCCTTGCGGGACTCCTGCTGGGATGGAAAACGTGTCTGAAAGACAACCATTCAACGATACCTTAAACGACCTTTGCTGGATGTAGCTACGGGTGATTTTAACCAGATCTAATGGAAAGTTGAAGTTACAAAGCTTGTATACAAGCCCATTGTGCCAGACATTATCAAACGCTTTCTCAACGTCTAACAAGGCCATGGCTGTGGACTTGGATACAGCTTTGTTACTTCGGATGTTATTCATCACCCGCACTAGCTGGTGATTGGTGGAGTGCCCCTTTCTGAATCCAAACTGTTCCGGAAGGAGAATGTTATTTTCCTCGACAAACTTGAGCAAACGATTGAGAATGAGTTTCTCGAACAATTTGCTCAGCGCTGAAAGGAGGCTGATTGGTCTGTAGCTTGAAGCTAGCGTTGGGTCCTTCCCGGGTTTGCGGATAGGTATGATTTTCGCTGTCTTCCAGATACTTGGAAAGTAGTGCAGTTCCAAGCATCTGTTGAAGACAGCAGCCAGCAGAGAGTGAACCTTCATGCTGAGATTTTTCAACACTAGGTTGAATATTCCGTCAAACCCGGGGGCCTTCATGTTTTTGGTGCATTTCAGCGCTGAGCAAATCTGTTCCACTGTGATTCTATCCTCCGGAGGGATGGCACAAAGGGAGGAATCAAGGTTGAGTACGCATTGCTCAACCTGTACTTCGAGCGGACTTTGGATGTTGGAGCCAAGCAAGTGCGATTTGGCAATATGCTCACCAATCGCATTTGCTTTCTCCTGAGGGGTGATTATGAGCCGATCGTCATCATTTTCATCTTTTAGTGGCGGAATGGGTTTAGGGTGCGTCTTTAAGACCTTGGTAACTTTCCAAAATGGTCTGGAGCGGTCGTCCAGATTCTGGACAAGCCGCCCGAAACTTTCGTTCCGGAGTGAGACCATTCTGGAAGCAATCTCCTTGTTCAGATCGGCCATTTCACGTTTCCTCGCTTGATCTCCAGTCCTCTGAAACTGGCGTCTACGAACATTTCTCAGGCGAATTAAGAGTTGGGTGTGGGAATCAATAGCAATAAACTTACCCCTCACAGGAACTCGTCGGACGCACGTCTCGTCAGCCACGGTTATGGCTTGGTGGAGTCCCTCCAACGCTCGGTCGATGTCCTCCACGGTGTCAAGCGGCGGGTTGTCGATGATGTGCCTGTCTACCACGCGTCCAAACTGGGCCCAGTTTACGTGATGATAGTCCTTGCGCAGGCTTGAAGCAGGAGCCACGTTGCAGCCCAGCTCAGACACCACCGGTTGGTGGTCGGAGCTGAGTTCGTTCAAGGCTACCGGCTTGGACAAGCCGATATTTGTCAGGAACAGGTCTAGCGTCGATGGGTTGCCCGCCGGTGAGATGAATGTTGGTTCATCCGAAAACCAAACGGAGTACAGCCCATGCTGTGAGTGGTCGAACAGGAGACGACCGTTCTGGTTCTGCTGGTAGTTCCGCCAGGCCTCATGGCGAGCATTCAGATCTCCTCCAACTACGAAGCGGGAACCGGTACGGGTGATGGTGGACAGGTCCTTCTTAAATTTAGCCGCTAGTCCACTGCTGGCGGCACATTGTCGAGGGCAGTAGACGGCGATGAACTGGACGTATCCAGTCGACGACTCCACCTCCACACCAAGGGCCTCGATGATAGAGGTGCGGATATGGCACAGAGTGTGGTATTTTATTCCTTTCTTGACGACGACCGCAACACCACCCCCCCTGGAGCTGGTGCGATCAAGCCGGATAATATTGTGGTCAGGCAACCAGAAGCTTTCACCGGACTTTAGATGGGTCTCGGTTAGAAGGCCCACGTCGATGCTGTGCTTGCGGAGGAAGTCGGCAAGCTCAATCCTTTTTGCTCTTACGGAGCAAGCATTCCAGGTGACGATAGTTAGCGGTTTAGACGCCATACTGGATGATGAACTTACCGAGCACTTGGATCTGTTCGGGCTTATTGCGGCACTTACGAAGAGCACCGGACATGTTGACGAAAATTTCCATCAGTTCATCCGCTGAGAACAGATCGGGGTTGTTGTTTTGCGTTGTTGGTTGTCTCCAGAATCCAGGGGGGGATGGAGAGCTTTGGCCAGCAGAATCACCGGAAGCTTCTTGAGGAGGGGCGGGTTGCACCCGCGAATTCGCTTGCCTTTGCTGGGGAGCACGAAGAGGCGGAAAATTCTCCGTCCTGAATGCTGGGGTTTTGTCCTTCTTGCGTCCTGGTTGATTGTTGCTTGACGCCTGCTTTCGGATGTGTTTGAAGTCCTCGCGTTTGGAGCACTGTCTGTCGGAACCTTGATGTGCACCACCACAGTTGGCGCATTTTAACGCCACGGCTCCATCCGCAGGGCAGTTGGAAGTGGCGTGTTCTTGAGCGCAGTTGCTGCAGCGTGGCTTAATGTTGCAGTTGCGGGTACCGTGACCAAAATTGAGGCACCGCTGGCACTGCGTTACGTCACGATGGCCGCCACGGTATGGCTCCCATCGTACGATGATGGAGTAGATCGATCGGATGGCTTGCAGCGCATTGAGAGTCACCGTCCCTTTCTGGAAGTGCACCAGGAAGAGGCAATCCGGGTACGTCTTCACGTTTTCGTCTATCCTTGTCATTCGGAATACAGCGATTGGGGCTAGCTTGTACCGGTTGATTTCAGCTTCGACCATCTTGGGGTCGAAATTTGGTAGACCCCTGATGACTACCTTGAAGGGC